CGGGGGGGGGGGGGGTGGGGGGGGGGGGGGGGGGGGGGGGGGGGGGGGGGGGGGGGGGGGGGGGGGGGGGGGGGGGTGGAGAAGGATGCCATGTGAGTCCGGGAAGCAAAAGGCAGGTGGAAACCCCAGCAGGATGGAGAGGGGCCGAGGCAAGAGGAGGAGAAAGAGCCCGCGGCGGCGGCGGCGGTGGCAGAAACTGCTCTGGCTGCTGCTGCCGCCTCTGTTTTCTCCGGCCGCGCTCTTGACGCTGCCCAGCTCTCCAAAGCGCAGCCGGCAACTCTTCTAAACTTGGGCGTAGGCGGAGAAGCAGCAGCCAGCCGAGGAAGCGGGGAGGGGGGGGGGGTCCGCGTCCCTCCAGCTGCCTCTTCTCTCCCCCCACCCCACCCCACCCCACCCCACGCCTCTTCCGAGTGGCTTGAAGAAGCGGCGAGGAGCGCGCGAGGCTGCTAGCCAAAAGTCCCCGCGTGCGCCCAGGGCGCATCCCGCGGCGGAGTCCCAGGCGCTGCCTGCCGCCCGAGCCCGGGCGAGAGAGAGAGAGCGGGAGAGCGAGCGGGCGAGAGAACTAGCGAGGCTCAATCTTCCCTCCTCCCTGCCGAGGGAAGGACGGCTCCGGAGGGCTGGCGCCAGCGGGCAGGATCACCGCGGAGCCCCTCGGCCCTCCGGCCCGGCTGACCTGCCGCGGAACTCCGCCTTCTCCATGCCGTGAGCGCGGTCGCCTTTCCTGCCCAGCGCGATGGCCGGGGCTCCCGGCGGAGACCGCTCCGGGCTGCCTCGGTCCTCGGTCTCCGGCAGCGGCGGCGGCGGCGGCGGCGGAGAAGCCCAGCGCGTGGAATTCGTACCTCTGACCGCCGTGCAGACCGAGAAGATCGACGCCACCCCCGCCGGCGGCGGCGGCGGATCCAGCCCCAGGCGTCTGGGACTGCTCGGGACACCTTTACCGGTCCCACGCGGGGGCTCCGGAGCTCGATCCGCCTCGCAGAAGCGATACCGTCGGCTCCAGAACTGCCTCTACAACGTGCTGGAAAGACCCCGAGGCTGGGCGTTCATCTACCACGCTTTCATGTAAGTCCTGGCTTGTTCTTTCCTCCTCCTCCTCCGGTCCAGAACTTTGTTTCAGGGCATCCAGTCGGTCCCTGTCATCTCTTTGGGGTTGTCAGCAAATGCTTCCCGCTCGCCCCGCGCCGTCAGAGTCATTGCAACTCTTTGGGTCTTGTCAAGAGGGCCGTGGTTAAGGAGAAGGCGTTCACACAACGCAGGGAACCCGCTTACTGAACTGACCCATTTCCTAAGCCTGGAATAGTGCAACGAACCAGCCCAGCTGGTTGAGTTCGTGCCCTTGCTAAACCTTAAAAGAAATCAACCAAGGTTCGTCCTAGCCAAACTTAGCATGTGTGAATATTGTCCTGAGGTTGTTAAGTAGCCAGGTAAGTGCCTTGCAAGAACATAGATTCCTATCTTTGTCTTTCCTTGTCCCCATTCAAATGGATGAAAAGTCAGAGGAACTTTTTTTTTTTTTTTGAGGGCGGAGAATGGTGGCAATTTGGACTACTATAAAAAAAACATTACAACAAAAAACTTTATGCCTGTTTAATTTCATGGTTAAATGTTGAGTAGGTATATATTAAACACTCTGTCTTAAGAAGGTGCTCCATCTGTCTGATGAACTGGAGTTGAGTGCAGAAAAGCTTATGCAGTGGTTGTTCCAAAGGTTCCCAAGACTATTGAAATGTGCTTGCCGATTGTTCCTGTTAGGTCCATATGTATTAGATTAGCTGGGCCAATCATCCGTCCACACCTGTCCAATAAATCAGACAAATAAGGCAGGGCAAATTTTTGCTGGCATGCTTGGGTGTGAGTGTGGTGCCTCTGAGGCTGTCACAAGGCAGCTTTAAAAGATGCTAAACTTCTCCACTTCTGAACGGGGAAGCTACTGCTAAATTCCAGGATCCTTGGGACGCAGCCTTTCCTAAAAGGATGCTCACCAGGTGTGCTTGATCCACCGCTTTAGAATGTTTAGCCAAGATATCTGGAGATCATCAAACTGGACAAGGTTTATCAGCAAGGTCTCCCACACCCTCTTCCCTCCCCAAGTTGCACTTTGATAAAATCCAAAAGCAGATTTCAGCCAATCCATTCTGAGCACTGTAAAGGAAAGAGTAAAATGCCAGCTCCTTTTCTCTCTCCCCACTTGTCTTGGTTTCCCCCCCTCCAACTTAAGTATAAGAAACACTAGAATCATAGGATTGGGAGGGACCTTGGAGGTCTTCTAGTTCAGCCCCCTGCCCAAAGCAAGAGTCAAAGACTTGCTTGTTCATTGTTGAAGCAAGGCAAATCACAGTGCATGGAAAGATTGATTTCTTTTTTGGCAAAGTATGTCCTTCTTTTTTCCCCCCATTCAGGACCCTTATAGATGCTTACCTGTGCCCATCTTTACCTAGATGCCCCTGGTTACTACCTTTGCTTGCCTAATCTTGTATGGTGTTCCACCCAGGGTCGCTGGATACAAGATGGGCAGCAAATAAAATTTATAAATAAATAAAAATTATAAATAAGTGGTGTTCCACCCCATCCTGAAGTGCTTCCTACATGCAAGCAACTACCATGGTTTTTTCCTACCCTGTCTAGCTAGCTGCCAAAGTGACAATACAATTCCAGGAAGAAATTACATTTGTATCATATAATCAGATCTAGATTTGTCATCCTGGGGATGGAGACCCCCAGCTTGATATCCTGGTTTAGGAGCTTACAAATCCCTGCTGAGTGCTGGAATCATCATCATCACGGGGGACACGGTCAACGCTGGAAAATTTGGAGCCCAGAAGCGTCTCTTCTTGCTGATTAAAGGGTCAAGAAATCATTGGCACAAAGATTTATTCTATATAACTCTAAAGCTCTCGTGGCTTTTAACGGAGAGGAGTTGAGTTGGGAAGATGCCCTGTGCTTTAACAGTTGTGTAAGTTCCAGAGAGTGACTCGGTCTGCAGCTGCGCCATGCGCTTCACCGGCTCCGTTACAAACCCACATCCTGTTTTTACTCAACATGCTAATCTGATTGTTCTTGACAGGTTCACTTCTTTCTTTGTGACTCAACCTGTGGTATGAACTCGATAGGTTGGGCTAGGTTTATGGATCCACATTGATGAATTCAGTGACCAAGTTAACTTGGTTGAGCGAGATGTTCCAACTTTTTCCTCAAAGAACTTTCCAACATGTTTCAATGCTCCAACACTGGAAGTTTTTAAGAAGAGGCTGGACAGCCATTTGTCCGAAATGGTGTAGGGTCTCCTGCCTGAGCAGGGGGTTGGACTTGATGACCTCCAAGGTCCCTTCCAACTTTATTATTATTATTACTCAGATTCTCCCACAGTGTTTAGTTTGCATTTTAAAAAGTGCCTTTAAAGATGGACTTGGTCTTACATTTTGCTGCAGCCTTGTGGTTCCTGTAGCATCCCAGATGCTTTCCTATTTAATCTCCAGCTCAGATATTTCCAGATATGTACTGTAGCTTCATAATAAAAAAAAATATTTATCTGAAGTGCACCCACGCTGGTAGATGCAAATCTGCATAGGCTCATTTACAGCAGTCAATTTAAATTTAGACATAATTACTAGGATTTATTTAAATTTCAAGGAGATTAACCTCTAATGACCCATCCAAAATAACCTTGATCAAATTAAAATTTAGGTAATTTTGACTTTGTTGCTAACCCTTCAGTTATAGTTAATTAATTCGTAGTGAATATGAACAAGTGTAAAAAAAAGAAGAACATAAAACAGTGCCTGGTAGATTCCCTCCTCCCCCGCCAAGTCTTTTCTTAAAAAAATTAGATAGTTGCACCCAAATGATTTCAAAGTTTTCAACAAGCACTAATCCAAAAATTATATTGAATAGGCAGTGGGGATGAAGTTCATTTCCCATTCTGATTCCTTCCGACCTTCTTTAAAATTAAATCAGCTCGCCTTTGGTTAGTAACCTCATTCATTTTCTAGTGCTATCTCCAGAAATTGAATTTAAGATACAATAATGAGTTCAAGATTTGGTGGCTGGTGGAAAGAAGCCTAGAGAGTGAGGCAGAGGAGGAAGAGGAAGGGAGGGGAGGAAGAGGATTGGAATGGGGAAGGAAGGAAATGAAAGAAAGAGAGTGAGAGAGTGAGAGAGGAAAGAAGGGTAGAAAAGAAAGAAAAAGGAAGGAAAAGAAGGAAGGAAGGGAGAAAGAAAGAAAATTAAAAAAGGAAGGAAGGGAATAAAGGAAAGAGGAAGGAAGAAAGGGGGCAAAACAAAGAGGGAAGGAAGGAGGAAGGAAGGAAAGAAGGAAGAAAGAGCAAAGCAAGATCTATACCAGGATATATATACAAATTGTACATAAGCATTTCAATTACCCGTAGCCATACTCTGTCATCATATTTCAATGAAACATGATTAATAATAATAACAACAACAACAACAACAACAACAACAACAACAACAACAACAATAATAATAATAATAATAATAATAATAATAATAATAATAATAATAATAATAATAATAATAATAATAAAGTTGGAAGGGACCTTGAAGGTCATCGAGTCCAACTCCCTGCTAAGGCAGGAAACCCTATACCATTTCGGACAAATGGCTGTCCAGTCTCTTCTTAAAAACCTCCAGTGTTGGAGCATTCACCGCTTCTGGAGGCAGGTGGTTCCACTGGTTAATTGTTCTAACTGTCAGGAAGTTTCTCCTTAGTTCTAGGTTGCTTCTCTCCTTGATTAGTTTCCATCCGTTGCTTCTTGTCCTGCCTTCAGGCACTTTGGAGAATAGCTTGACTCCCTCTTCTTTGGGGCAGCCCCTGAGATACTGGAACACTGGTATCATGTCCCCCCTCCTCCTTCTCTTCGTTAAACTAGATAATCACATGCTCTCTGCAGACAATGATAGTTGGGGCCATATGCTTTGCCTTTCAAACAAAGAAGAACAAATCTTTTAGTACAAAATAGGGCACTGAGAATCTCCTTTCTCTGTCCAGTTATCAGTTTCCAGGCATTAGGAATATAATTCAAAAGAACTCAAACCTCTGAAAATATGACATCAAGTTTGAAAGTTGAGATAGTACCAAGCAAACATATCTTTGAATAAAGCATTAATCTCATTTTATCTCCTGGTGATTTACGCAAGGCTTTGCTATATAAACTCAGTGGGGTCCAAGGAATCTAAAATATTGTTTTGGGTTAAATATGATATAATCCAGGATCAACGGAATGTTTTGGCCCTGATGTTAATATCTTTTCCTAGTGTCTGGGCAAAACAGGAATCTCAGATTCTTTATTCAGCCATTAAAGTTGCATCTCAGTTTGATAAACTTGATTCGTTTTTATTCCAGTTGTTTGAGTCAGCGTGTAATGTGGAATCCAGCCCATGGAACCGACTGCTGACTGTGCAGACCAGAAAAGGGAACAATTCAGTAACCAGGTTAAAGATGCTATGTGAACTATACAATAACTACACTTTAGAACTAAGCCTCTTAAGGTATAAGGTAGTTTATTTATTTATTTAGAGGCCACCCATCTCACTCACAGCATGGCTATGGGTGGTGATATTTGGCCAACTCTTACGTTTCACCTGTCTGGGATGGTTTAGTGAAAGCTTTGGATTTTTGAGAAGCGATCACTTATTTTAATGACTCTAGAGAAAATAGATTATTTAAATTCCCAAACTGCTGGCAGGAGGATTTCATGGGAATCCTTATCGGTAGAGACTTTGCCCTCACGGCTCCAGGGATGTAGGAATGCTCTTTCGTGTCGTCATATATTGTCCTTTTTGTGACAAGGGATCTTCTGATCTCCCCAGTTGTCTCTAAATTTGAGGGTCATACTGATCAATTCTATGTTTTTAAGGGATGCTAACATTACACCAGGATACCTGGTGGCCCAATATCTTCATCAAATCACACAATCATGCAAAACATTTAATTAGATAAGTCGTTTGATTGTTTTATTGGGTTTTCCCCTCCCAGTCTTTTTGTTGCATTAAACTCTTTCTCTTTTTCTACTATAAAGGCTGGCCAAAGACTGTAATAAAGATAT